GAGAGAGAGAGAGAGAGAGAGAGAGAGAGAGAGAGAGAGAGAGATTTACAATTAATATAATATTTATCAATTAGAAATAACAATCTAAATATTTAGTAATAAATCTTTGCACATGAACTAAAATGGAAACTTATAATTAAAAATAGTTTTAATTTAGTTTAGAAAGTTTAATATTCAAAAGTTTTATTTCAAAAGTTAAGTTTGTTCTGCTGCGATATAATTGACTTAATTCATAACAACGAGATGGCGGATCTATGTAACATTAGGATTAATTTATACGATTGTACATGTATATTGAACAATCACTTTTTATTTGCATTCGCACATGTTCATAACAACACTGGGTGATACCAACAACTATTACATCACATAATATTTGATACCAACTTCTAATAAAGGCAAAAGTTTTTATTTTAACCATGTTTAGTGTTTAGTTAATTATATTCACATCCAATACGGTATGTATTAATAATAATGATGTAGTTTTACATTAATGCCAGCAAAAGTCAATACAAAACGTATTGTAAACGTATTGCATATTATTTTTGTATAATAATAACAATAATACACTAAATGTACTAAATATTACTAATTATTATTAATACAAATTATTACTTATTTATTACAATTAGTGACCAAAACACACATCAATACTAAATGAATGGCCGAACCAATCACTTCAGGCACTGATAGCCCGATGATTGAAATGTCTGTCCGTAACAGACAATCGCCGGACAATAACAGTATGAATGAGACCACTAGTAGTGCGGGAACTAGTGATACGACTGGCAGCACATCATCGCTACCGTCGGCGGACTCAATGGACTCAATAGACTCCATATCTGACTCGAGATCTACCCTTAACTCTACCCCTAATGGGTCAGCACAGGTCAATTGTTTGCAACCATGTTCAATATGGCACATCGCATTGACATGTGTTTCCATCGGGCTATTATTGTGGGACGCTTACAGCGATTACGCACGGGTTGTCAATTATGGCCTCGATCAACATTATCGGTTATATTAATTGAATTTACTTTATATATATTAAATAACATATTATATTTATTTATACCGTATTTCCTGGCTTATTATTAAAGGTATTGCGGGTTGACTTTAGCGTCCGCACTGACACCCTTATGGATTATAACGACAATTATCCGGCGCAGGGATGACAACAATACGCCCGACAACTTCCCTGTGTGGTCGAGCGGACACAACACCCGCTCGCCCGACAACGGGGAGCCGTCCACTGGGTTTGACCCGTTGCCGCCCCCCGTTTGGTATCGCTATACAAGCACTTTATTAATGTGGGCAAAATTGGCTCACATTCAGCGATATGTCGATATATTACTGCACCAACTGAACTCCAGACAACAATCTAGATCGCGTGAATCGAGACAAATGAATTTAAACGCGGTGCTACACAAAAGTACCGAGATGACCAGTTTAATGCTCATGGTTTGTTTCATGGGGTCGGCGCCACAGCTCGTGCTTCAACTCTATATCGAGGCTAAGGATATGCCACAGACCATCAGTTTGTGGACTGGTATGCGCTGCCCCTATTTGAATATATTGCATGCTTATCTAATTGTTTAAATTTATCATGTGTAATAATTATCATTGAACATTAGAGGTGGTCATATTAAGTTCATTAGTAACCCTCTCAAAGTCAATGGTGTCGTACGAGTCCATACAAATGCCCAATATGAACTTGCAGGTATGTGCGCTAAATTACCACGTTATGTATAATTACATTATATAATCTTGAATAATTATTTTACTCGTGTTTACTTTATATTCTATGTAAATGTAATCGCTGTTTGGCGCAATTCTGGACTATCATGCTCATACATTCAACCATGGCAAATATTATTGTATAGGAATATTTTGATAATTCTCAATATTTATTTTACAACATAGTGGCCCGTATTTTTGCTCTAGCGCTGTTTGCTAGTCTATTCCCGTTTGACCTGGTTGCATTTTGTTTCGGCCATTGGCTAATTATGTTGGTCTCGATAGTCTTACTTAGAGTGACTACGTTTAATGAACTTAGATCTACAGCTTATTTAGCCTATGTGCTTATATTTTGTTACCATAATCCAAGTCACAGTCGTAGACTATATAACATGCGATCTCTATATTACATGTTTGTATTTATCGAGAATTGTTATTTAACATACGTTTGGTACGGCCAGTGTCCGGACGATCGGTGGTATAAAGCAATCGCATGGTTGCCGCATATCTCGTGCTTTTTTATTGGACTTAACAATATGGTAAGCGATTTGTGAAAAGTAGTGTATATTTTAAAATTTACACGCTTTTATTATAGTCTAGTATCATGGACATTTGGAGGCGTGACACTGGCCCGCCGGCCACCAACTCACCAAGTTCAACATCTATTGCAAATACTGTTTAATGTTAAGTAATGGGTAAATAAATGATCAATGATGAGCACAATGGCTACTCAGGCCAAGTGCCATAACAAACAGTATTGATTTAATTGTTTGACTGTTGTTGTATTTTTACATAAAAATATTAATACTCTCAATGAATGAATTATATCAGGGAATTGTTATTATATAACATTTAACTCAATAACATTATGTTCATTATTATTTAGGCTTAATTTTATACTTGTATTATTATTTTGTATTTATTGCATTGCATTTAAATTCATATTTTGCATTTATTTTTATTTAATTAATTACATTATAAACTAATAAATTTATAATTTTATTCAATTTAATTTTTGAGTATGATCCATAGATTTTACAAAATTAGTAAAATTATTAATAATAATAAATTTTTAAGACATATTTACTGTTTAATTAAATATTCAATTTATAGTATATTTAATGTACACTGTATAAGTTATATTATTATTTTATAAATAAATTTAATGTGTAATCTTAATTTATTTTTGAAATGATCATGTTCATGTAAATTATTATTCGTTCATTTATATTAAACTATTTTGATAGACAAAAAATTATAAAATGGTAAAATATTTATCAACTAGAAAAATAACAAATTTTAAACATGTTTAAAATACAAAATTATAAATAAAAATAAATAAAAAAGTTTTAAATGTTTTGTATTAAAAAGTTTTATTTCTAAATTTTTTTAACTTCAAAGTTTCTATGAGTTTTCCTAATATAATTGATTTAATTTATGACAACGAGATGGCAGATCTGTTTTGAATTACAATTACATGTATGTGCCAACTGTACCACTATTTATTTGCATTTGCACATGATACATAACAACAACTTTTGATACGAACAACTATTACATCACATAATATTTTTATTTTTATCTAAAAGTAAAAGTTTTTATTTTACCAAGTAAAGTGTTTATTTAATTATATTCACCTCCAATACTGTATGTATTAATAATAATTATGTAGTTTGCATTAATACTCATAAAGTCAATGACAATAGTGCTGTACACTTATTACATATTATGTTTGTGTAATAATAACAATAATAGTAAATATTACTGATCATTACAATTAGTGACGAAAACACATCAATACTAAATCAATGTCCGAAACAATCACTTCAGACACTGATAACGAGATACCTATGAATGCACTGCCGGTCCGTAACAGTCAATCGGCGGACAATAACAGTCTGAATGACAGCACTAGTAGTGATGAAACTACTGCTATGATTGCCAGCACATCATCGCCAACACCGGCGGCGACTCCGCCACTGCTCACAGGCAATGGTCAGCGAAACAATGGGCCGGAAATTGTCGCATACCGGCGCATATTTGCGGCCATTCGCCGACTGATTACAGGGTGGACCCAATCTGCACCCCTGACTCAGGCCCCCAGCGAACTGCCCCGATCGGCCACACCATTTTCGGACTGGGACAAATTTATGGCAAGATATTGCATCGTGATATACTTGTGGGACGTGGTCAGCGATTTTTACCTGGTTGGCAAACATTTAATAAATCACGACTGGTGGTATTAGAGTTATATATGTTTTTTTGTGACCAGCATACTAATTCATATCCTATTTCTGACTTAACCTTGCGCAGGTATTTCGGACTCACCCTGTTGTTCGTACTGTTGCCCTCGTTTGTTATGACATTTATTATGCGTCGCTGGTACGATCAGTGGCAGTGCGACGGTCGACCTGTACAGTTCATGTATCCTGCTCCTAATATTTATATAAGGCATCTGAAGACATGGGCACAATTGGGGCCATTTTACCGATATAAAGAAATATTAGACCATGGTTTACAATCGAGAGACACAGCTAGGTCATCCGAAGAGAGATGTGAACACTTAACCATATTGTATTACAAACAGTTAGAAATGTCTCGTTTAAGACTCATTGATACGTTCGTGGAATCGGGGCCTCAGCTCATTATTCTTGCTAAAACTAGCACTGAATTACCTGATATTTTGACAATTGGATCTGGTAAGTGATTTATATTAAATTAGCCATGATACTTATTACATAGTTTTATATGGTACACAAATTGTGCCCCAGTGTTGGGATCATTGGCAGCCCTATCGTCAGCATTGGTCAATTACGAGTTGGCCCCCTATATGGGCATGGTACGTTTTGTATCACCCACTGCGCAGCGAAACTATAACAACATTAAAATTGAAGTAACGTGATAAAATAATTATTATTTATTTATTAATTATTAACAACTATTTAATATTTAATCCTATCTTGTTAATAGGGGTCTATTGTAAACTTTATCTGGCGACTTTTAACAATAATGGCCCGGGTGTTAGCGATGGCACTGTTCGCCAGCGTATTTCCAGTTTACATGGGTCTGGCATGTTGCGGGCATTGGCTAATAATGTTTATCTGGGTCATTTGGATTACGCTTAATTTGGAACATTTAATAATAAACACTAATATTGTTAGAAATCCCAACACTAGACTCACCGAGTTCACGCGCAAAAACTATACAAGTGCAGCTTGTTTAGCCTACGTGCTTATATTTTGTTACCACGATTCGTGTGGCAAATTAACGGGGCAGCAAGTAATTTATTACCCCATCGTGGTCATAGAGAATTGTGCTTTAATTGGCTTTTGGTACGCGTATTGTCCGACCGGACTGTGGTATACATGGCTGGCATTGTACGCGCATTTCGGATGCTTTATTCTGGGCCTCATTATTATGGTAAGCGAATTGTGACGAGTGCTGTATTAAAAATTGTTAATAACTATTTTAAAACATGATATTTATAAATGTAAATGCTTTTCGATTACAGGGTGTGTATTATATTTGTCTGTATCGCCGTGCGGTGAATGTGGGCCAGGTGATTAACGCACCCGAACCATGGTGGTATATTTATGCCCATGTTGAAGTAATTAAACGCCTACTGGGATGGGCAACTCCAAGGCAACCCGAGCAAGGTAGATAATATTGATAATTTAATTAGTTCAGATTTTTATTTAAATCTACAGTTACAGCCGAATAATAGTGGGTTGGCCAATGATCGTGGCCATTTATCACAAGATTTGAATCTAAATTAGTACAATATTAGACGTGGTAAATATATTTAGTGTTTAAACATTTAAACAGTATTTACACTATTGTCTGACTGTTATTGCATTATTGCTTAAAAATATTTATGTAAAAATATTTGGTACAATAGTTTATAATGAATAATACTCTCAATTAATGAATTATATCAGGGAATTGTTATTATATAACATATAGCTCAATAACTTTACACTTGTGTGTTCAACTGTGTCCGAATGTGATCAGTGATGGTGAAATACGCTCAATTAATTATATTCGGGAATTATTATGTTATTGTATTTATATTTTTCTCACTCATGGTATTATATGACTATTTTATATAAGTTTTTAAATAATTTTAAGTATTTAAACATTTAAACAGTATTTACAAATAGTATTTATTTTATTATTCAATTGTTTTCGTATTATTACATAAAATATTTATGTAGTTTATAATGAAGAATACTCTCAATGAATTATATCAGTGAATTGTTGTTATATAACATTTTGTTCAATAACATTACCTTCATTATTATTTAAGCTTGATTTTTTACACTTGTGTGTTCATTTATATTTTGCATTTATTTTTATTTAATGAATTATATTATAAACTAATTAATTGCTATATCTTATAATTTTTATTCAATTATATTTAATAAGCATTATTTACAAATTTATAAAATTCATTAAAAAAATAATTTTATAATCATTTTAATAATAAATATTAAATTAATTCTAATTGAATTTATGTGCATTGTATAACTTTTTATTTTAATAAATAAATATTATGTTTGATATTAATTTATTTTTAAAATAATCATATGCATGCAAATTATCATTGATTTATGCTACATTTTTGATAGATAAAAATTATAAAGTGGTAAAATATTTATCACATAGAAAAATACAGTCAAAATAAATACTGATAAAAACTTACTAACATGATCATTTCTGTAAGTTAATTATATGTTTCCAACTATACCTAATAACACACATCACTGAATTAAACAAATACTAAAATCTAACTCTTAAGTTAAATAAATAAAAGTTACCACAATGTTTTTTAATCAAAAATGTCAAAATATAATAAATTCATATCACTTTTACTCAAACAAAATTTCAATCAAATTAAATAATTTTTTCAATTTTATTTTTAAATATAATCTATAAATTTTATTAATTAGTAAAATTATTTTTATTATTAATAATTTTTAAACATATTTACTGTTAAATTAAATAGTAAATTAATTATAATATATTTTTGTACACTGTATAACACTTATAATTAGCTTAATTTATTATTGAAATAAATATGCATATGTAAATTATGATTCGCCAATTTATAAAGATGAATGATAATTCAGATTATACAAATTACTACATTTTTTGTTATGAAAATGAAATTATAAAATGGTTAAATATTTATCAACAACAAAAAAATTACAATCAAAATATCTAATGATAAATGTTAAGCATAATCTAAAATGCAAAATTATAAAACAACACTTAAATGTGTAAAGTATAAATGAAAACCAAGAATTTTATTTTTACTACTGTATTATTACATTTATAGCTGAAATAAATATTTACTAGCACAACCACTGCCACAAATACACACATATTGCACACAATATCACTCATACACATAGTCCCAGAATAACTCTAATGTACCTTAAGTGACCTAATTTGGTCCCTATATAAGGCCCTATCTATATAACACGAACAGACAGTCAATACAACAATTGTAAATTTTTAGTTAGGTTTTTGTGAGTTTTTCTATAATAAAATTATAACCACCAGATTACAGATCTGTTTAACATTACATTTATTGAACAGTTATTTTTTATTTGCCTTCTATGCTGTAATAATAGTTATATTCATATTTATAACTAACCAAAGCAAAAGTTTTTATTTTACCAAGTTAATTGTTTATTTAATTATAATCAATACAATACGGTATGTATTAATAATAATTAGTGCTTATATTTATATTTAAATAAATGTTTTGCCCGGTTAACTCTACATTCATAAGACTTTGGGGGCAAACGAATCATATAATAAGAACCCTTTCAATGATTTTTATTATTAAATGTAATTGAATTAAAAATAAAACAACCAAAAAATAAAATTAAGCTAAAAATAATTTATCTAGTATTCATTAAAGCTGTATCATTTAAAAATAAATTTGATTAGCTGATATTATTTATGAAAATTAATTATCTATGACAAATACAGCAAATCATAATTCACAATTTTACCATAATACATTATGCACTAAAGGGATTATTGATTTACTTAAAAAAAAAACATTACCTTGATTAAATAATTACATTTTGTATTATTTGTAACTTATTATGATCCCATGTCGGTATGTCCAATGTATGTGTTACAAAACTAATTGTAATTTATTGATTAATGTTATTTTATTAATTTATTTAAAATGTAAATTATGTAGACATTTATCTGGAGAGAGAGAGAGAGAGAATTTTTAATACATACAGGTATGTAATTATTATGTAGTCGTGTGAACATACAAAAAGTGTGTTTTTATCAAGTGTAAAATACAAATACCCAACATCAAACAAAAATAAAAGTTATATACAAAATCAATACCAAGAATACAATGCAATTTCAATGGAAATATTATGACATTAAACAAAAATGACATCAAATTAATAAAAACAAATAAAATACAAAATTAAATTAAATACCCATAATCATAAGACTTTTTATACCTGTATAATTATAATGGCGCCTAATCAATTAATGTGCACATTGTATGCTATGTTCAAACCATGTTAAATTGTGTTAATTATCAAATTGGGTGCTGCATAATGAATGTCGTGCTAGTGCAAAATACATGTGTGTATATTCTTATATGTAGTACTATTATCAATAAGCTAAATATTACATTATAGCAAATATGTAGTAATATAATGGTAAATATAAAATATCATTACCAATGCCAAGGCCCTGTCAATAAAATTAATGTCACATGCACAAATGTGCTGGATTACATGTACTGTATACACACAAAAGCGATCATCATTAAATTATACAATAACTTACATTTGTTTGCTCTCTCTCTCTCTCTCTCTC